AGTAAAAACAGCAACAGAAAGTGTTTTTGAAAGCAGTCAGAGAGGATTTGTGCATATTTCCCTGAAGCTCTGCAACATGCACCACAATAGTAATTAAAATACCCCTGCTGATTCCCTGCTGATGCCAGCAAGTGCATATAGATAGCTCTTGCCAAACACTGGCATGAAAAGTAATTGCTTCATACTATGTTATAAAGGCAGTGGGTAGCAGTAGGAAGATCAATTCACTGTCTTAGAAAAGTCCAAATTCGAATCTCCTCTTTACTGCTTTCCGGATAACACAAGCAGCATTTTTTAAAAAGTACCCTATTTTTATTTATGGATGTATGTGTACTAAACAGACCTCATTTCCCGGGGCTGATTCACACTAGCTGCTGGCCTCCATGGGAATACCCGAGATAGCAGAGGGCTGGCTGGCTGGGTTGCAGATGGGCATGGCTTACGCGGAGGCCTGTGCGAGCTGGCATCCCTGTACAGCTACTGCCTCTGTGAACCCTCCGATTTAGTTTACTGAAGCTGCCACCAGGATCACTTGGAAATATTGATTCACACAAATGAGGTGAACATGCCTGTCTGGAGCCCTGTGCATGTTGGATGTGCTCAACTGAGCCTCTTGATATTCTTGATGGGTGGCATCCCACCTTCTTTTGGAAAGGTTACAGAGGAGGGCAACTCTTTTTTTATTTACCTGATTAACTTGTACCATCCTGAGGATGTGCAAAACTAGGAAACTGCAAGAACATTGGAAGTTTACTGCACGCTCAGAAAATGGTTTCTTTAGCCACCTGTGTGCAGCTCTTTCCTTGATGACACAAGGCAAGGCATTTCCCGTCCCTTACAAGTTGAGAGGCTTCTTCTTTGATATAATAAATACTGGCACGCTCTCCTATTGGTGCCAGTAGAACTATCAGTGTTGTTGCCCGAAGGCAATACTTTTTAGGACTTCAGGAAAGACTGTCAATAGCTCTTAACACTCATGTGATCTATCTCAATGGGCGTTAAGACAGCATGGCTCAACCTTTCCCAGCCTAGTTCCCTGCAGAAGTGTTGGAGTGCAACCTCAACTGTGGGGGGCTAGGCTGGGGAAGGCTGGCACAGGTGATGGGTGGAGATGATCCATCCTTGTACTCCCATTACTATTCATGGAAAGGGATGGAGCCAGACATCTGCATGAAATTAGAAAAGCAAAGCAGAAGGGACAAGACTAAACTTGAATACAGAATAATACTGAGGAAAGGACCAAGCTGGAGTTCCTTTATTGCTCAGAGTTAGACATCTGATGTGGGAGTGCGACGTCTGAAATACCTGAACAGGTGTTTAACATTCAACCAGGAAATGAATGCCAATCTTATAAAACTTCAGTCAGCCTCCAATGAAGCCTTTCATTCCAAGGGAAGCTAACTCCAGAGTAAGCACTCTAGCCTTAGAAATTCGCACCTTCTGGAGAATCGAAGCACACAGAAACAATATAACCCAGCACACAGATAAAAGGTCAAAGCAGATAACAAGTACTGCCCATTGCTGTGGGAAAATCAGTGGTACCACTAGTTTGATGTCTAATAATGTTCTCTTTCAGATGAAGCCCTCCAACTTTGAAACCTGTTCTAGTTAAATCAAACACTCAGCTCTGGGTTAAAGAACTCGGGAATCACCAATGGCTTGCAATTGCATTTCTTCTTTTGACTAGTCCTAGTGGGAAAAGAGCAGGAAAACACTCTCTGCGTTATGTCTGAACATCAGATTGCTTTCTAGAAGTGTTGTGATGTAAAACATACATGCCTTTGCCACTTTCTAGCAATTTCTTTAGGTCTACTCTCCTTAAATTTAACTTCAAAGAATCTCACACACTAACATTTTTGTCATTTTCCTGGACTGCAGAAGAATGGATGGAAGAATGTAAGCTGGGAATGAAAAACCTTTGGCCCTCCAGATATCACTGGACTAATTCCTGATCATTTCCCATGGTTGATGGAATGACTGGGAGTTGGATTCCAAGAACACGTGGAGGATCACAGACCCTGAATACCAGCAGTGAGGATGTGAAGACTGAAATCTTGCTGAAATTCTGGAGAGCTGCAGCTAATCAGAAAAGCCCATCCTGGGCCAGATGGGCAAATAGTTTGTCAATGTGTGAAACAGTCTATGGGAGTCCTACTTTGGGATTATTATGGGACTAACATACTATGGAAGTCCTATTATGGAGGGCCTCTTACATGGCATGCTGAACCCACTTTAGTAATAGGGAGATTATGATGATTTACGCAGCAAAACAGTGGAGCACCCTTTTGCTGATTACAGAATTACAAAAGTGGCAATAACCATCTGTTTGTAAATCACAGCTGTAAGTACTCTTACTGCTTATGTTAAGGATGGGTAACTTGTGACTACTCAGGTGCTTTGGCCACAGGTCCCAGTGATGCCACACCATTGGCTATGAGGGCTTGAGCTGATGGAAATTCTAGGCCAAGGCATGCAAAGTGCCACAGGTGTCCCACTCCTGCTGAGTTATGCTATAAAATGGGTATATTTTGGCTCCAGTATTCATTTCCTCATGTTTCCTTCCCTTCTCCATTTAACATGCAGGTTGTCATTTGCAGCTAATCAACACCTCCTTCCTTCCCCAGACAAACGATACTCTTACTAAATAAAATTAGGACCATACCTATACAAGGAATCAGCTACAAACTGCAATACAAAATAAACCACTGCGAGTGACTGTAAATGGCAAAATTTGATTTGTAAGAAGACTCTCAAAATCCTATTTTTGCAGGACGTATTATGCTTCTTGAACAGACCAAATAAATTGCTGTTGTGAGAATTACAGTGATTAGGGAATTTCAGTAGTGAAGATGTTCAGTTAGCTGTTCAGAAGCATTACAAATTATATCTACCTAAATTTCAGATCCTATAGATTGCTGAAATAATTATTTTTGAGCTGATTTCTTCTAAAAATTCATATGAAAACTTGAGGAAATCTTCTACATTATATTATACGCCATTTGCAATGCTACACTTCAGCCGAACCAGAGTTCTTTATTAACTTCAGAAGAAATGTATATGGCTGCAATTCTCTCAAAATACTGTCTGATGCTAAGTTCACTTCTTTGAGGTTCACTATATTACCATTTTCTCTGGACTAAAAGATAAGGTAAGCATAATTTCATATGAAACATGAATATACTGGATAGAGCCATAATCCATGTTTAATAGAATGGGATGCACATATATATGTATATATAATGCTATACAGTATGGCTCAATTAATCCACAGATTATATACATATACATATACATGTCCAAAATGTGGACAGTGTTGACCATTAGAAGAAAATCTCATTCCTCTGGTGATTATTCAAAAATAAAGAGACAGACTAGTGAACCATCATGTTCACCAAATACATAAGATTCATTACTGTAAGCCCATTATTTTGGCCATTTCACAAGATACACATGACATTAATTGCATGTCATCACAGCTGCCCCCTTATTTTGCAGATATGCATCATGTCCAGTGTATACTGAGCCACCATTTAACTCAAGTAGATGTGGATAAAGCTAACTGATCCTGTCAGGCCAACCCTAACCATATTCAGTGAGTCAGTCCAGAACTGCACTGGGGCAGAATATCTGATAACTTTGCAGAAATATATTATTTAGTTAAATTCAATAAAGCTGGGGGTGCTGCATGCGTGTGATACTGTGGTAACACAGCCACACAAACTGCTGGGTATGTTGCTTTACTATCTCTTACAGGTTTTAAGAGATAGTACAGGTTTTCTGACTCATTGCTCAGTTAAATGAGTAGAATCCCATTAATTTCAATTAGACTGAAATACTATCACGTAGGTCAAACTAGCATTAAGTAACATTCTGTGCATAAAACAATGAAATAGAGCCTGCATGGTCATTCTTACCCAGTGTGGCTTAAATAAGCCACCATAGTTTGCCACATGCGTGCAGTCTATTCTTGTCATCTGAACCTGGCTAGGGTGGAACATGGGTTTTGGGTAGTTTGTTGACCATTCCAACAACCCACACCTGACAGGTTCAGATGAATATACATGGTGTTCAACATACATACATACATACATACATACATACATACAAACTGAGGTTGTGTTACCAAATGGGTGTCCTTGGACAAACTATGGTGGGTTATTTAACCCATGGTGGGTCGCATTTATCATACAAAATCTCACAAAATTACTTTGTAATAGCTTTTTTCAGAGTTGACACTAATGCAACTCAGGATAGAATTTTGTACAATATTATGATTCTTTTCTTTCAAAATGATTTCCTTTCTTTAAAAAAATAATATTTAGACTACCTGTTTCCACAAAACATAAATGAAAGACTTGGGGGGAAAATAAAAATTAAATTAACAGTTCAGATTTTAAGAAATTTTAAATACAAACTTCTTATATAGTGCAATCATGATAAAGGTAGCATGGCCTAGAATCTGGACAATGCCATTTTTTCTAGTTAATTTTTAAAATCTGAACTGTATAATTGTTTCATTACATCACCACATTACAAACAAAAATATTACGACAAACATGACTTTTCTCTGACTGTATTGTTAGTACATATTAACAAGAAACCATTCCACCCAAATAGGGAATAAAAAAGAAGATATGAAAAACAAAAATGAGAATTAGTTCAGATATCAAACAGTGTTTTGAACAGCAAGCCAGACCGTTAATAGTACTGGGCATCAAAATGTTGTTTCAGGATTGATTTTTGAGTAAACAAGTTATGTTTTAATTAGATTGTGTCTCATCTCCTAGTAAGGTTGCACTGCATTCCTGTTGAACTAACTTACTAAAGAGGGGAGGGGAACACTAGCTACATGAATTAAGACAGCACAAATTAACTCCTTAAGTATTACTGCAACTCCAACTTCTCTCTATAAGGAGTACAAATCTTAAGGAGCTATAAAAACAAAGATAAATAAAAACTCAACAATCCTAGCAATTTATAATGCATATACAGTTGTTCACCTGCATCCTTTTGATTCTCTATATGAAAGAGAGAGAAAGCAACAAGGAGAAAGAGAGAAAAACAAGAACAGATATGCAGAATTAATGAGCAAGTGGATTAAAATGCCCCCCAGTTATGTGTGATATATGACATTCAAAAAAAGAAGAAAAAGTTGCCCAATCTCTCCCACCACCCTGAAGCATGGGATCATCAAAACAACTTGTTTTAAGAAGAAAAAAAGTTGTAGAATTGGTGGTTAGGTGGTAGAAGCTCTCAGAACAAACACTAGCTATCAGACTGGTAAATAAAGGTACATAATAGTGAGTAATAAGAATAAAGAATCCAGAATAGCGTTCTGCTTGAAAAATGACAGGCAAGGGACACAAAAGATAAAATGTAGAGGGACATATTGTTCTGTGGTCTTATACACATGTTGTTAAACATTTTAAAAACATAGTATTAGGGGAAAATAGGGAAGGCTCTTTCCCAGTGTCTTTTATCTGACGGCTACTCATCTCTCCCCCATACAGTTGCTAACCTTTTGATTGTGTACCAGTGACAAGTGTTTACAAATTGGGGCTACACAGAAGCAAAGTAAAAATGCATTCAGGTCACAGACAGAAAGAACTGAAAAAACTTACAGACAAATTGGAGTTCATCACATACAAATACAGCTTAATTTTTCTAACCTGCTTTTTAGGCTGATAAAAAGTGACTGGACTTCTCACACTGGGACTTTCACAGACAGAAGCAACAGACAAGCCAATGCTAAAAGACTTGAAGCAAGGAAAGTGAGTTGGTTTGGCTCTGGATTGTACTGAGGTAATGAAAACAGAAAAGAGTGAAGACGGCATGGTGAGGAGGGTGGAAGGTACTCACGAATGGTTAAATCCATCACTTGAGAGGCCAAGCAGAAGACAGGATGTTCATACATTTCTCTCTTTTTCCCTATAAAAGAGGATTTGGGCATGCAAGAGGCTTAGGTCAGAGGTAAAGAGGTTAGAGGTCATAGGTCAGAGGAAAACTTTACATTAGCTCAAAAGGAAAGTAGCTGTAGAGTATTTTGGGATACACACAGGATAAAAATAAAAAAGGAGATTTAAAATTGGAAGTTTACTGGATTAACCATTCAGCATGCTCATGAGTCACAAAAGAGATTGTGACCATGATTCTAAAGGTTTGTTCTGAATTGTTTGCAGGAATATAATGGTCAGAACGTCATGAACAGAAGGAAATAGAATTCTATTGATTTAAGGCTTTGAGATACTAAGGAGTTTAGCCTTCAGTATCTAAGGCTTTCACAGGTATTTCTTCATAAACATAGCCTCAAGCAGCATTGCTGCTAATTGTTTCTTAGACCGAGTGCATTAAAAATTCAGCTGTCTCAACTTAAGGAGGCATTTGCTTTCCAAATGGTAGACTCCTCCAGAAAAATGGGTCACACAATATTTTTATAGTAAATAATAATAGTGTTAAGTTTTAATGAGTGGACTATGCTCATGAAAGAAAACCTGAGGCATGCAGCTTGCGGATGTTGGGTTGTTTGAATTAACAATCCCAGCATGCTTTGAAACTGATGCAACCACTTTTTCATAGAGGGAGCACAGAAAAGTGGCTGAATCAACTACGAACAAGGAAGGAGAGAAGCAGAAGAGAGCAGGTAGTGTGGGATGAAGTACTTCTCTGAAAACAACAGCTGGAATTAAAAAGAAAAAAAGGAAACCAAAAGAAGGTTTGTTGCTTCAAATTTTCCCAGACCTAAAAGTCACAGTGCCAAAAAAGAGGGCAGATAATTAACACAATCAAGAAGAATTGAGGCACAAAAGGAAAGTACACACTAACTGTTCTATGTTTTGGGAAATGAATGCATTTTTACTTACAGATCATAAAGATTGTTTTTGCAAAGATATATCTGAAAGAAGAGAGCAAAGCTTACCGACAGAGTTAGTGAGCGTTACACAGAGACCTAGGGAGCCCAGTGTCCTTTCAAAAGGAGACTAAAACAACAACCCCAAAGCTGCCTTTGAACTGGATTCTCCCATGTCCGCATGAAGCATATTTAAACATTGAAATTTTTAACAGAGTTCACCAATTAAAACCGTTCTGTGAAGCTGAGTGCTTTGATAGATTGCTTGATAGCATAGCGCTCAAGAGACCTGCGTTCCTTCTCTATTTTCATCGCTCATTACTAAGTCAAGAGTTGATAAACATCCTTTTAGTGCCCAATTCTTAAGCGTTTCTCACTGGATGCATAACAATGAATTCATTACCACTGGTACACAATTTGCATTGTCAACGGGGAAAAAACATTGAAAATGATAGGAGGTGTATAATGTCCAGACCCTGGAAATATGTTACTTATCACAATAATCCAGTCCTCCTGAGGAGCAAGGACTAGGGGAAAAATTGAACGGTGATATTGTTTTCTCTAGTGATATTATTCTAAGGGAATTAGAACACAGCTTTAGTAAAGGCTCATAAATGACAAGAAACCACAATCTCTACCACACAATTCCATTTATACATCTAACAGCAAGGCTTTTGCCATGTTGTGTAGGAGTTTCAAATTACTACAGAGCAACCAACAAGGTAACAATGAAATTGATTAATGTGTAAAGATCTATCTGCATGTATAGAACTCTTGCCAAAAGCATATCTCCAAGCGAGTTTTAAAATGTCTTTTTGATGGCTGCATGTGTCTCTGGTCACTAGTTGTTATTCCTTCATAATGTAAAAGGTCAAAAATATCAGCTGTGGTGAATTTAGATTGACAAGAATGAAATCTGATGCAAGCACAGGACCAACTGATTTGACAAGATCTGCTATGCATAAAGGGAAGGCAGCAAAACATTACCCAGGGAAAAAAATGAGCATTTTAAGTAGGCTCACAAATGAATGAGTACAGTTAAATCATTCTTAATTCCTAATATTTCAATTGTTCTATGAACCCCACTGTCGGAAACAATTAGCTGCATTTCCCTTTCCAGTGACAAAAATGGCATATTATGTTTATCTCACTGTTTTGTTTTCTGGAAAAAATGGCAGGCATGAACACCGTACTATTGGCCAAACATGCTTACTTACTCTCCTATGCAGTAATGATTCTGTCATTCATTCACGGTTTTGAAAAAATAAAATATTAACCCTATCCTATCCTGAAAACAAAAGTGAAAATGATTTTGTTTTGTTTTTTCAGTTATATATCCTATAGTAAAAGAATTACTATGGTATAGGCTAACTTTTCTTTCTTTTCTTTTTTAATAAAAATGCAGCTGTCGCATTAGTCTCACTGAAAGACATTAACACCCAAAATGTAAATTTAGTAATAAAATCATCTTACCTTCAATTTTGGCATATTCTGATAGTCGTGTATAGTTAGTCAATGCAGCTTGTTCTAAGCATTTACGGATGACGGCTTTTACCTCCTCTTGAGGAACTGGAGTAACTATGTCTTTCATCAAAACCTTCATACAAGAAACACTAATTTGTTGTGTCATCATTATTACATTAAAAACAACAACAACAATAGAACATTTCATCTACCCTCACAATGCTCTTTGTCTCCCTCTCCTGGCCAGCACATGGACAGCAATAGTATTATCCATTGTTCCTGGGAGTTTCTTGGACTTGACCATCCAGTTCCACTGTTCTGACTTTCCTATTTATACTTTGAAATGGTATGTGGAAGTGGTCAGAAAGTTTCCAAACATCCCTACATCGTAACAGTGCAGATGAATACGTGAAGCACATATATTGTAAGAATCCTCATGTTATCTGTTATTTACATGTCATGCAGACGTGGTTCAATATTGTCTTGACTTAATGCTTGACCTCTTATGGAGTTGAGTGTTGCAGCCTGATACAGGAATGCTGTCTGATGATGCGGATGAAACCGTGCGCCCAGTAAATGTCTTTAAGATGCCACAAGATCTTCTTTGAGGCTGCTTTTCACAGTTTCAAAACATAAACAGGAATCATGCAAAAGGGGAATCAGCATTCTTCTTGGCACTAGCATATTGACCCCCAAAGAACTAGTTCCGTTAGTGATTGAGTTTAAATGCTTTGTTCTCACAGAGCAAATGCTTCAAGTTACAGGTTAATACAGTATGGTTGATGGTATGGTTGATGTAAGTTTGATCTTCTTGTGTTAAGATTTAAAGTAGTAAACTTCCAAATTTAATTTAGGCATACGAATTGTTTGTTCAGTGACACTAGACTACAGTCCCAGTTTTAAGGTTTCTATTGTTTTTGTTATTAAAATAAAGGCTTCAAAACAAATAAAATTGGAATTAGAATTTCAAACATTATTCTGTAACATTACCATAATTAACACATAATTCCATGTGTGGACATGAAGCTTCAGTTAGTGTGTACAGAGCTCGTTTGAAAGGCTGTGAAACTATAGAACCATATAACTGGGATGAGCAAAAAGGTTCGTCTGCCCAAACAGAATTTGCCATGAAATCTAGATCATGGCATGAAAACGTTGCTTGTATAAGACAAACCATGCACCGCAGGAAATGAAAAATAACCTCTCTGTCCAAGGAGATCAGAAGGAAGATGGTTTCCTAACAGATATATAATCAAACCAATTTAAATTCTACTGAATGAAAAGAAACACCTATGGAAACTCATTTTTTCACCAGATTTTCAACCTCCTTATGCTTACCCGTTCCAAGAGTGATAGTGTGGCTTTTAAAGCTCCTTCTGGTCGGCCAAATGGGAAGCAATACCTAGGGTAAATATATTGCTTTTAAAGCTTTTCCACTTATGCAATTATATTAACAGGCTTTACAGTGATTTGATTAAAAGGATACTTCCCCAAGACCTCTGAGTGATTAGTCCTTTTCTTCTAAATTCCTTTATTTAAGCTTCTGTCTAAGACAGAAGGAATCAGGTTGAACTATACTGTTAGTAGGACTACAGTCTTATAAGCATCTGATCCTAGGAGTGAGGTGTGATGCCAGCAATCTCCCCTTTTTGGTCATCCAGCTGAACTGCTGGAGAAGGAGAGGGAAGGAGAATGGGATGCTGAATGGAATCAGTGTGAGCCTTTAGCCCTGGCCTTCTCCACAGCCTGCCCTGTGGCATTCCCCCTTTTGCCTTCTCAGAGGCCTGCATGCAACTTTTCTGGGGTGGGTGGGGGGAAGCTGGTGAAGGTATTTTGGCATTGGAATGGGATGAGCTCCCAGCTTTGGAGTCCCAGCTCCTAAACCACATGATCTTGAAGCTGAGATCCCCAAGAATTCTATGGCCTCCGAAATGATGCCAGGTTGGCGGAGGCATATTGGAAGTTGAAGGTCCTTTCTATGTAAAATGTACGGGATTATATCTTAAATTAGTGGACTTTAAGGAGTCCAGGATTTTCACAATATGGCAATAAATCTAAACATTTTATTTGATTGATGAAAGAGTTTTTTTAGGTCGAGAACCAATATTGCACTGTATATTTGTTTTCTTACAATTTATACTTATAATATAATGGATTTGTATATCACAGACTTTTTTTTTTTAAGATGGGGGCTATCAAGAAAAATCTACATAAAGGAACACACAATTGCTTTGTGGCTGTGACCTTTCAGTGATATTACAGTTAATTCCAGGAAGAAAATGGATACATCTGGGAATTCCAAGTTGGAGCTGAAGAGAGGAGGAACAGCCAATTGCTGACAATAAAGAGATGGGGAAATGGAAGCAACAAGGTAAGAGAAAAGATTGTTTGCTTATCTTGGCAATCGGCCATATTGCATGCTTTAGCTATTGCCCCTATGTGGTGCAAAGTGAATAATAAAAGCAGAATCAGAAAAACTGGGGGACCTCCCAAAAAGTTGATTTTTTGAGGGGGGCAAACAGAATATGAATGTCTAAAAATCAAACTGGCCCCTGGTTTCCCTCCTCTTCTAAGTGCTTGCACTTGATAAATATTCAAAAAAACAGATACAGAAAGTGACATTTGTAACACATTGAACTATTTTGCCATTTTGATGTTGTGTCAGTGCAACGTTCAGTAGCAATAATGCAGCAGTAGCTCTGCGTAAGCCTTTTGTCTAATAACTCCCATCATTGGTAATGCCATATTTTATGCAACCATGCTAGAAACATTTTAAACATTAGCAATGCAAGCATTCATCATTACTGCATCTGAAACTGGATCTATGTTTGGAAGACGAACAGAAGCCATTACCTAAAATGTGTGATTTGATTTTCCAGTAACACCCGCAGCCTTTCTTTGATTTCTTCAAACCGTTCCTTTTCTTCTACTGTTACAGTTCCTATTCCATCAGGTCTGAAGGAAAAAGACTGAGATTAATGCCTATTTTATCTTATGGTCCTTACAGTCTGCCATCCTATTTCCAGTGAAAACACGTATAGAAATAAAGAATAACATTTGAATCCTGGGCACCCACAGAACTGATTATGTGAACTCAATGACTTCAAACTAAACTTCTCTTGAGGCCCCAGTGCACATGTGAAGTGTTGTCCTTCAAAGTTTCACTTCACAGTCCTGCCTCTTAGCCCTGGACAGAGTAACCTTGTTTGGATACTTTCCTGGGTTGCATTCAGTGAAGCCCTTAAATGTACGGTCAATAGTCACGGTGTAACTCAATTGTCCTATGAAAACATTTCTCATATGTTTTTCAGGTATGTCAAACCATTTTGGAAGTCTCCAAGGTTTTTTGATTTCAAATGTTCTTCAGTTTGGGCATGAATATTTCCCATGCGCAGGTACAATCACTTCTCTTGACTTATGATAGGAGGTGCAAAATTCAACAGCAAACCTTCATACTTCTGGGGTGCACCTTTAAATGGCTGTCTTGAAAGTGGACTGGTTGTGTGTGTAGAGAACAGCTTGTGGGAGATCGCTCCTTGAGCTAATATAGATCTTGGTCTACCTGTCATTAGTTATTAAGATCAAAGCTGAGATATGCTATCTGCCCTATTCAGGCATCATCAAAGTCTGTTGTTTAAAGAGACAAGAAGGGGAAGTGCACTGATTGTACCCAATCCATTGTCACTCTCATTGCACTGACCATGTGGGAGGCTACAGTTTGAAAAAATGAAACTCCTCTGTCCTAGCAGTTCCCATGTGATCCATCACACCGATTGATCAAGTAGAGCACAATGACAGAGACAATGGAGAAGGCCTAGTCAGCACACCTTGCCTGTTTAAACAACACAATTTGAGAATGCCTGAAATGGGTTCATGTAGTATGACAAAGTACACATTTTATTTATTTATTTATTTATTAAAACATTTTTATGCCGCCCCATTCGCGGAAGCCGAAATGATGATTGAGGTATGGGTAAATCCCATGTATACCCAAGCTTAGCTGTACTTTACTTTACTTTATTTTATTAATAGATAACTAACTAAAAATCCTAGAAAAAGTTTTGGTGAAAAACTATGGGAACCCTAAAAAATCATTTCTTAAGAATATATATAGAAATCATGATAATCTTTTGTACGTTTCAGAAGAGTGACTTCATCATAATCAATTTCAGAAAGAGTTTTTCCAGTGCTATTATATGTATTACTTTTGTGTATCAGAGTATATTGTCTAGCACAATAGGTAAGCATTTTATCTATCATATACCTGTGATGTGGTACAAGAAGTTAACTGTGTTATAAAACATGCATGGGGATACACAAACTGATAATAGAACACAATCCTATTGTTTGAACTGTTTTGAAAGAAAACAGTCCCAGAACATCTTGTCCTGGGAGTGGCAGGACCTTCTGCTATCCAACCATTCATAGGATTGAGCCCTTAGACTGATATGGTCCGAGAAAGAAATGGCTGCAGAGTGATGGGAATCTTGTGATTCCTCCAACTTTCCCTCATTAATTTTGTTGCATTCCAGGAAAGATGTTGACAAGCCAGAATAAGCAGCATGGCTTCCTACAATTGACAACAAATAAGTATATGGATTTGTTTACCACTATGCAGTGTCCAACTGAAAGCATTTCTCTGCTTTTAAGAGTATTATAATAAGTCTTAAAACTGAACAAATGTTTTAACTTAAAGGCCTCCTCCAGAGTTTGGATTAAGCTTTGTAAATCCTTAGTACTAGTCTAGTTCGGCTATACAAAAGAGTTGGCAAGGGATTACAAAGCTTCTAATGAACCTCCTGTCAGGGGTTAATTGGTAAGCTTTATTTCCCTTTTAAAGAATCAAAATGGCCCTAAGATTTTTTTTTAAAAAATCTGTTAAAGTCAGTATTTCATTGACTTTAAGAAGCACAGATGTCAAAATATAATAAATAATTAATAGCGAAATAATATATATTTAGCACTTAAAACTCAATAATTTTAGACAAGGACATTATACTATTTGTATTTTTCTTTTAGTCTTTGTTTTTTTTGAAATTCAGTGCACACACAAAGTAAATGGTTAAGATTCATGCATATGTCTCACTGCAGCCAGAGGGATTTGCATGCATTTAATTATCTGTGGGGTTCTGTCCACTATACTGGGAAAGTAGTCCTATGGCCCTATGGATACTGTCCATAGATTTTTGGAATCTCAGCACTGATACTGGAAAATAATTCCAATCCTGGAGGTGTGACTTCAAACTCAGAGTTCCTCTTCGCTCTGATGTTGCAAAAACTCCACTGAGTGATTCCTCAAGGTTAGGTAATGGCAATCTTGGGAAAGCTGCTTCAGGAGAATTCCAAGGGGCAAAGAGGGGAAGTGACTGGTGCTACCAAGTTATGATACATCCTGGAGGTGCCTCAGTCACCTTGCCTGCCTTACCAAAACTGGCCATCTGGTTGATTGCAGAAGGGGAGGAGTGGTGACCTTTGCTTATGCATTCCTCCCAACTTGAGTAGGATGCTTGTAATTCTCTGAAGTCTGGAAACTTCTGGGCAGCCCCATTAGATTCCACCTTTAGATTGTTGTGTTTGTAGTTTTAGTAATAGCAATCATAGGGCCAGTATGCAATGTCTAGGGTACCAGACAATAATTTAGATTCCCATATCTGAGGCTAGAGAAAAAGCTCTGACTTTAGAGGTGGGGGGGTCTGTGGTTTGATCCCTCTCCCACACCTCACAGGCAATGCAGAACCACTCTGACTGCCTTTCTGAGGTTGGGAAATCAAGCTCAGGGAGAGGTTAAGAGGAGAAGGCCCTAGGAGGGCAGGCAGGGGAAGAAAATGTAGACTGTCTTGATGGCACTTTAGCCTCCTCGCCTCCTTCTCCAAAATACCTCACCTACATAGCCAAAATCAACCTGCTAGCTGAAATGTGGAGTGGGAAGTACACGCAGATGGAGAGTTTCTCTGCTGCATGTTCCACTCTGCATGAGATGCTCATAGGCCTCAATTTTAAGGGCTTCCAAGCAACACAGATGCAATCAACAGGACTGCTAAATTCAGTATGCTTTGTGCCCTAATTTTAAAAGAACCAACAGTGTGATCCAGTTAGACTGTCCATAACGCTCTGAACTCAGAACATTATCAGCAGCCCATGGAGGATGGAGGGAATAGTTTTGGCCAGGATGGAGGGAATACACTCTGAGTTCAGACTTCCAGCTGCAATCTCAAGCAGGTTTTCAAGGTTGTAGTTGGAACTCCAAATAGACCTATTCCTGACTAGACTTCGTCTAGCAGCCATCGGAGTGTGCCCTAAATGGCTTTAGTACAGTGCAGTCTCATATGTCTGCTCAGAAGTAAATCCCACAGAGTTCAATGGCACAAACCTGTAGCTACATGGGTATAGGATTCTAGTCACAGTGAATGAAAACTAAGCAAGCTGTTTAATTTTACATGCTTGCTTACTGAAACATTTAGAAAATTTTAGATTTCACATTCCATAAGATAATACCTTTCCTATACTTTTTCTTTTTTTTGGCAAGGGAGCAATGAAACTAAGGAAGTGAAACAGGAACATGCAGTTTCAAGTCATGAATTGCTCTGTAAAGGCCACACAAAGCACCTCCTTTTATTTTCAAACAAACATAAAAATGCAGAATCTTAAGTGACTCAATAAGGTTATTATTAATCTTTGGATCCAGTGCTTTTTTTTAAAGTCCTATTTAACTAAAAGTAATTTTCAAGCTTAATTAGTCTAAAATATAGGAAAGGTTCATTTACTGATGGAATTTTAATGTTTGAAATAAAAATGCCAGCAAGAACACAAGTTATGTTTTTGATGTGATAATTGCAGCTATCACTTGATAACCTGAATGTGTGAATCTGTTATCACTAGTTATTACATGATCAGTTATCACAGATCATTGCCTCCTAACACATCAGGCAATTGCCCAATGAAGGAGAATCCAAGATAAGAGGTGATAAGCTTATCATGTAGTTGCCCATCTCATATTGTCAAAGTATTATTAAACTAGATGTGTGAATTTTCCCTGATTGCAGCATTAACCTATGAAGTGTTTTACTGAAAATGTCTTAATGTAAGCCTAACTGCAGGAGAAAGCAAAGCATGGCTCAGAAACTTGTTCTTTTATTTGTCTCCTTTCTTAATTCACTGTATCAATACTCTACATTTTTTCTACAGAGAACACAGCTCATTCTAAAGAAGCTGAGGTGGTCACCATTGACTAGTAATGGCTGGCCTGATTCTGAATCCATTGCAGGGGAACTTACTCCCAATGGTGTTTGGTATCAGAGCACCAAGACTGCTACTTGCTTTGCTGTTCTGCTAGACCCCAGGTTTCAGACGTCCAGGCTACGGACAACCTGTACTTAGGAATGAGTAAAGTCCCACCTCATCTTCAAGCAGCAAGCGGGTGCTGTGCAGCAAGAAGAGGAAGGAAGGAGGGCAAGGGAAGGAGAAGGGAGAAAGTGGTGTGGGCAAGCAGTTAAGTCAGAACTAGAAAGCATCCCCAGTGGTAACCGCAGACCCCTCCCGCAGCACAATCAAACTCTGACTCTCCAGCACCAGGCCCATCTGCATCATCACCCAGTCAACGTTAGGCTTAATGTTAGCTCAAGAAGTGCTAAGAATTAATAAACTTTTTACTATTTGTTCTACTTTCCTATCTAAACTGTTTGAAGAATTATACTGTATCCCTACCCACATCTGTACAGATTCACTCTCTCAATTCAGTACCTGTAGTTACTTTATTATTAAAAAGGTAAAGGTTTCCCCTTGATGTTAAGTCCAGTCATGTCTGACTCTAGGGGGCAGTACTCATCTCCGTTTCCTAGCGGAGGGAGCCAGCATTTGTCTGCAGACATTATTACTGCATTATTATATCATTATTACACTGCTGTATGTTTAAGATGTTTTAGTGTATATGGAAGTGTTTCTTAAGTGTTTTATAA